TGCTCCTATTTTATATTGTTTAATGGACTTTTGAGCTTGAATACTGTTCGTTATCTCCATGTATTTCATCCAAGGGTAAAAATTTCTTTCATTGTGGTTCAGCGATACCAAAATATACTGTTTCATTTATGTTGTGGATTGTTTTGAATTATTTTCTAAAAAAATTTTTATTGTTTTTGTTTGTTTGTTTCCCAGCTTTTACAGATCTGTACAACTTCAAGGAATAGTTAACTGTTTTTCGAAAGTTTAATATCAAGTTCCTTTATGGATAATCATCTTGGATGTACCAGCTAACTTTTGCATACTAGTATGGTCATCAACTTAAGTTCGTCTATTTTTGTTTAAGGAGGGATTCATGACTGGTTTCTGACTAGGTGAAATGTTCAAAGTATATTTGCTTATATATTTAGATGTAAGAGATTTAAAATATCATATTTTTCTTTCCTCATCACAATTGTACAATTTTAAATGGAATGGTAAACTGAGTTTGAAATCTAGCAGGGACTATATTTTTGGCGGAATGGCGGCGTATGAAAATATCTTCTTTTCTGCCTCTCTAAATAATTATAGAACAATGAATTTAGTTATAATTTTTCCACAATCAAAGACTTGGAGAAAATTTTAAATGTAAGTTAAATTAATAATAAGGGACTAAAGTTTTAAAATATATCTAATAAATATGATTTTCAAACAAACTACAATTATGTTAGCTTTTAAAAGCTTCCAATCTATGTTTAGATTTGTGCCAAAAATCCGTAAAAAGTGTTTTTTCTCTCTTAGACAACTTTCAAAACTTTTTGTTTTTATATCATTGTGTATTTTTATGTGACAACTTTACCATATGTGAAAATAAGAAAAATTGAAATATAGGAAGCATATGAAAATAACTAAAATATCTTAAAATTTTAAGAAAAATAGAGAAAATTCGGATAAGCCAATATCCTTTTTAGTTAAATTATTTATGTCAATTTGGTGATATCATCATATAGACCCTATATGGTAATATCTCTTTATGCAAAAAGAAAAACATTTAATTTCCAGGGAAAAGGTACTGACCTTGCCTCTAATATAAAACTGTCACATTTAATCTAACTGATACCATTACTTAGTGATATTGTCTTCTTGATTCTGTGAAAATTTCATTGATTTTTAAATATAAGAAATAAGTGTTCTTATGAGAAGAATCCCTCCTTAATATTTGGTAAAATCCTCTTGATAATACTATAAAACGATATTGAATAATTTGTGCTGTCAAAAGAAAACTTTAAAAAAAAAAAAACTCTGCATGTTCATATAAATGAAAAATAATAAAATAATATTTGACTTGTCTCTTCTACAGAACATTGACAGACTAGCAAAAATTAGAGTCACAGTATTTTCAGATACCCTTTACAAGAAACTGGCTAACTGACAGGAATATCTTGATAACGAGCTTATACAAATTAAATAAAACAGAACTAGAGTCAAGGGGGGTCATTGAAGTTCCAAATTGTTAGTGACAATTGGGACAAGAATATTCTGCCTAACTACAGAACTTCCCAGCAGAATACTTTGTCTTTGCATCCTTTTTACGCTGATAGGTGTTGTGGACCGCGTCACACCAAATATTGATCCTGCTCATGATGAAAACCTTTTGAATGTCCAGGACTTGGAAGCTTTCATACCTTCCTTACAAGAACAAGATATTCTGAGTAAAGAATTAACTTTCCTTGTGTCTACTGCTCTGGTTCAGAATATTCCTGGAGATCGTGAGTTCGAATCTCGGCCGCGACTGACATAAGTCGATAAAAAATGGGTAGCAACTGTTCCTTCGCCATGCGCTCGGCTCTTTGAAGTGAAAGTTGCGGGGCCTTCGGATGAGACCTTAAAAACCGAGGCCCCGTGTCACGGCAGGCTTTGGCACGATAAAGATCCCTCGCTGCTCAATGGCCCTGAGTGCCGAGTAAAGGTCAAAATTTGAAGCCCTTCACCGGTATATGGTGACGTCTCTATATGAGTGAAAAATTCTCGAATGGGACGTAAAACAACAAACAAACAATCATTCAATCAGAATTTTCCTTAACTGAAGTCTTGTTTGGGAAGCATATACCCTGAACATTTTGATCTTCAGTATAATGACCTAGCTGGGATAAAAACTAGACAGGTATTGAAAGCTCATTTATGTGATGATGAAACCAATCTAATTTAATGTATTTGATATGTATTATATCTCATTACTTAGAATCAAATGAAAAGATAGATACAATGTACATGAAAAGCAAGGTTAAGAAATTAACAGGCTATAATCTATTCAAAGTTAGACATTTAACTCAGTTTATTTTTTAAATTTAGTTTTGCTTGGGTTTACGACTGAACAGAAGATACAGGATGTAATCCTCCTTTTGAAGGACATTTCGAAGAAATACGTCCCTAAAGTGAATGGTAAAATTAAAGAAGAGGTGTTTCTGGGAGGTAAAATATGTGTTTATTTACAAAATATGAAAAAAATTGTTATGTGTTTTGGTTTCGATATTTCCATCTTTCATACACATTTTCAGGAAGATTGTGATTCAAGCATTCTTTTTTAAGCCTCGCAGCAATTTACATCAAATTACATGTACATTGTTTTTTGTCAATACTCAATACATACTTTCAAGACTGCATAGAAAATGAGACCAATCAAACAGAGGTGATTTTAAGAAATCTATCAGTAAGATGCTCTTCATTTAAAAATATTCTATCTTTCATTTTACTTTTTTCAGGAGACAGGCTTACTGATGAAAGAATACGATGTGCTCAGCAGGCAATGGTAAATTCTGCCACATCGATGGAAAGACTTGAAGGATTCTTCTCCAAAATAGAGGACTTCATCGCCTTATGAATTTCTTTGAGGTAGGTTAATTACATGTATTATTGATTTCATAAAAAAAAATAACACTTGTAATACAGGTCACACATTTTTATCTCCCCTGATTTTCGCAAAAGATGGGGGATATTAAGTTGGGTCTGTCCTTAACACTAGTTTTCATTTTTAGACTTTACACAGAAATTTCATACGATGACTTCCTATAATTTAAAGAAGACCTTAATAATTTGGAGGTCAATTCGTCGAAGGTCAAGGTCACAAAGTCCATTGTTGTAGATTTGTAATTGGTTATCTGTAGGGATTTTAGCCTGTGCATAGAAAATTTATTGAATTACTTTGTAATTTGAATAAAGGCCCCTTTTGATCTTTAGGTCAGTAGGTAAAAAGTAAAGGGAAAAATTCCTATCTTATGGAAAGGGGTTTTCAGATGATATCTTTAGTACTCTTTTAGCTTTTGCAATGGAATTTAACATGTTGACCACCTATAATATAAGAATGGCCCTTTTTGATTTTGAGTGTTTATTATGAAACTCTACAAAACTGTATATTCTACTTGGAAATTATTTATTGCTTTAAAAGATGCAATATTTTTAAACTTTCCTTGCTTTTCCTGTATTTCTTGAGGTCTATCTTTTTTATTCTGTCTTTAAGAAGGGATAAATGAATTCTCTGATAATCTTGTTTCCTAATGATATCTTAATAGCATTATTGTTGATTTTTTTCTTTCCTAGGCTATCAGCAAGCTGACATTCGACACTGGTTCTGCGAAGGATAGGTGTACTGCATGCTATTTTAAGAACCTTTTGAATGCAAGGGATGTAAAAGCTGATGTAAAAAACTCTTATCTAGCCTACAAAAAGCTTTTTACACAATATTTGATGGCATATGTTGTGCTTTGTTTCTTAAAGAAGTGAATTTGAATTCATTGGAACAGGAACTTCCTATACCGTGCGATTGGGAAACATTAGAAAATGATGAGAAAATCAAGTGGTTAGATAATTTTAGCTGTAAAATTTTCAGAAAATGGTTCTTTTTGAACAATGATATATGTCATGAAATAAGGGAAGTGGCTGACCCCAATCATGAGGAGAATTATTGGACTGGAAATTACATTAACGGGAAATTCAGGTCCATACACCTACATTGGTAGTCTTCAATCTCAAGAACTAAAATTACATTCTCATTCGCCTTCTAAGAGCTCCCCCAGAAGCAAAGATGCATGTGGTGATGAACTTTACAATTACATTCTGTGTCTATTCAAGTTGACTACATAAAAGATCAGTGGAGGCAAAAACCGTAACATGGCACTCGATGAATCTGTTGAGCTTGTCAGCAGAGATACCAAAGCTACCTGCTCTGGTTTCCAAACGAAGGACAGCATTTTAACTCATTCAAGAGAATTCCCTCATCTAATCAATGCTTCCAAGCACTTTGACACAATTTGCGATGTGAGAAAACGGAAAGGATTCCACAAGGAACCGTCTTACCTAGAGAATGTGAAAAAAGTTACAAAAGAGCTCTTACATGTGAACGCACCACAGCAGATTGAAGGCCGAAACTGGAATGCAAGGACATTTTATCAGAAGGAAATCCTTATGAATCATGTTAGAAGAACCTTGCTATGATGATACACAGACATAAGCCTGTCCTTCCATTTAGACTTTGGGCAATAAAAGAATGTGATTTCTTCACCAAGTGATTATCAACAAAGTTCAGTACCCCCCCCCTTTTTTTACAACAGGTTATGAGAGAGACCTGTACATTGTAAATATTTTTGCTGGGGTTCATCATAATCATATCATGTTGTATGACATTTTATCATAAGTATTTTAAATCAAATCATTAATATCATATGATATGTTCATGTGAAACTTAAGTTGTAATATTGATCGCTGTCTGATGTATAATAAACTTAATTGCAAGTTATTTTTTTGTAAATGATAATCCTCAATATATGGTTGAATTTGCCAAGGGCTAGAGAGGGCCTCTCCCTTTGATCATAAGATGGGAGATGACCCTTCATCATTGATTCCAATCCCACTGTGGGATGTTATAATCAATAACAAACATAAGTGGCCTTAACATGTGTGATAAAAAGATATGTTTAAGACAAAAGAAAGTATATCTATTTAATTATATTTTAAAATACAAGTGTTCAGGTACATTCTAAAAGCTCTGTGTCTGATTCAGCTGATCCGAGGAAATCAAATTCATAATATAAAACTGTGTCATCACTATCAGCATCACTGAGGTCAGAATCAAAATGGATATATTCAATGTCCTCCTCAACACACTTCTCTAACATCAGTTTAAATTTACTACAATTGCCACAGTTGCAGCATTTTTCACAGAAATCACAGCATGAGTGTTTTGCCAATTCACTATTAATATTCCCAATTACAGTAAGTTCAGTAGTTGAAATAAAGTTTGTCATAATAGCCATTCTCCTGCATTTGCTTGATTTTACTACTGTCTTCAGTTCCTCGTCCGTGTTTTGGTATTGATAAGAGTGATGTAGAATAAATGCGACAGAGTCTTTACCATCTCGTCCAACTCGACCACATTCTTGGAGCAAGCCCACCAGGGTTGGTGGGGGTCCATACAAATCAACACTATGGCATTCCACAACATCTACACCGATTTCTAAGGCACTTGTCGCGACAACTCTCAACATGAAATCTTCTTTTTGAGTCAGTTGACGAATTACTCTAAGTTTTGTCTCTTTAGTTGACTCTGAATAAAACATTTCTATGTGTCTTGACAGTCCTGGAACCTCAGAAATTATGTAATTGTAAATGAGAGAAACATCCTTTATGGAGTTTCAATACACAAGTGTCCTTGGAAATTTCTCTTTGTATTTCAAAAGTCGTTCAACCAGCCAAAACATTGATGACTCCACATTGTGTTCAATTTCTTTAAGTATGTACTTAATATTTTCTTTATTTGGAGACACAGAAACAAAGTTAGGACTTTCTGTCATGTTCAACACTTTCAAAATCTTCAACATTTTTTGTGTACAAGTTGCACTTTTTTTTTTTGGTCGACTGCACCCCTGAAACATAAAATATGTAATATAATAATGATGATAATAATAATAATAATAATATATATATATATATATATATATATATATATATATATATATATATATATATATATATATATATATATATATATATATGACATATGGCTTTAGGAGACCAAGGAGGATATATTTTCTGGCTTAGGGAGACCACTGGATTAAGGCGACCTTTTTCGGTCTCCCTATTATTTTGACCTCATCAGTATTGCAAATGTCTTTTTATAGATAAATAAACAGTCTGCCATTAAATATTATTAATCTTTAACTCTGTTATTTAACATTCAAAAGTTGTCTAATTTCTGTCATCTTCCCTAAAAAAGAAAAGAATTTATAACCTACGTATAATTTCAAAGGATAATTTTTCTGCATTTTGGAGACCATGAAAAACATGCAATTAAACAAAAAATCTAGCATATATATTTTTTCCGCTTTTGATTTGTTCAAATGAGTGTTTCTTTAACTTATTTTTCCATGTTTTATGTTAAAAACCTAAAAAGGAAAAATATTGTAAATTTATGAACCATGTTTTGAATTCTTAGCAAGTGCTTTCCGTCATTTGTTCCGAATGCCATCGGAATGCCCCTTCAGTTTTCAGAAAATGACCTCTGAACACCATGGATGTTGAGAAATTTGGGTAAGTAACTAAAATGATACAGTAATAAGTTGTAATTAAGAATACACAAGACAAACATTCGTTTGGTTTTGTTGTTGTTTTTTTTTTTTGCCTAGTAATTTAGCTTTCAAGAGAAAAGGTATGATTTTAAATAATCGTTAGACTATAGTTCGGTATATAAAATCCTGAAGAAAATTCGAAATAAAGTTAAATGATAGGCCCCTATATTTTTTTAATTCTTTTATGCAAGTCCACAAACAAATTAAATATTTAAAGATTAGGCCGAAGGTTGAAAAAATAGTCTCGCAAGTTGACGCAGCTATTTCGAGCTTAAAAATTTAAATTAAACTTTCTGTAAACATCATGCAGGACATGTTCATCATGATATAGTATAAATGAAACAGACCCTGTAAGAAAAAAATAGCTGTAATTTAATAATTGTTTATTAATATAATGTGGTCCTCTGCTAATAGAATATATATGCTGTAAAAAAAATCTGAATCAGGGTGAAGCAGATTTGATACAATACATGGCTGAAGGAACGGGGGGGGGGGGGGGGGGCAGGCCCCCTGTAATTTTGCTGAAATTTAGGTATACTATAGAAAACATTGCTCCTTTATGCTTGGGCCCCCTCAATAATAACCTCTGATGATCTATTTTTCTTTTGCTTTTGGGCCCCCTCAATAATAACCTCTGATAATGTATTTTTCTTTTGCTTATTAAAAATTTTTTTGGTTTGTAGCCTCCCCCAACCTGAAACTGAAAAATGTTGTTTGGTTGTGCTCCCCCCCCCCCCTTCCAACTAAATTACGTACGGGCCTATTCTCCATCCCTGAGGTTTTCTTTCACCAAAGAAAGATGAATTGGTAACAGTTCAGATATATATAGCAATATTTACGGAAGGGAATATTCTCATTTAATTATGAATATGTGACAGTAACTCAGTCAAGGCCACAGTGAGTGTAACATTTATTTAATATTATTGTTAATGTTTACAAATAGTGAAATACTGATACTGTGAAATTTTAATGGATATATAGAAAATATAAAAGTACAACCATTTATTATAAATCACATACATGAAAAGCTTCTTTTTTTTTAAGCAATTGGAAATTCTTCATTTTTTCATGAAATTATTTTATTTCGTATGTATGATCATAATTTATTTCGTATTTTAATTCTGTCAACAAATCATTGTCGCAGCCTAGTTCCCTTCATTATTTTCAGCAGTTCAGTGACAGAGATAAAATAATCATTTGAGGTTTATATCCCCCCTCCCCACCAAATGAAACTGAAAAATGTTTGGTTTTGGTCCCCTTCAACTGAAATTGATTCTTACTTACCATGCTTACAGGCTTAACTATGAAGATGTGACAGGGAGTTTAATAACAATAATTGTTCAGACGGATACATATTAAGCTGATATACGTATCAAATTTTAATGGATAGATAGAAATTAATAAACAATTACAACCATTTATTATAAACTACATAAAGATAATTTTTCAAGCAATTTGAAATTCTTCATTTTTTATGATAATATTTTATTTCGTATATATGTTTATAGGTTTATTCGTATCAACAAATCTGTGTACGAGCTAATAACGCAGCCTGGTTCCCTGCATTTTCAGTTAACCACAGAGAACCAGAATAAGATTGTAGGGAAACAAGCCTTGTTACAAGGTTTGAGGTTTGTTTATTTTATATTTTAATTTACACTTTTAAAAATTATTATTATTATGCAAAAATCTGTGTGCAGATGAATATTTACATTTTAATGTTATAAGTCGTTTTGTGGTTCATATTTGCGGTGACTGTCCCACGTGTGTTTACCTGTTTACATTCACCAACTGACCTGGAGTCTTCAAAATATACCTTCTGTAATCATGGCTGTTGTAATCTTGTTTTTATGTTAGTTTACCATATGTAACTTGACTGTTGTATAGATTTATAGCGATCACTGCAAGCTTTTAATATTTAGGTGAAGAGAAATTTCAGACTATCAATCACAGGCACTTGTTTCATATACGGTGCACCCCTACTTATTTTTACCACAAGGTATCTAACTCAATTTCAGGCACCCCCGCTTCAAGCTCGTATTTTGTTCATGTATCATTATCAATCATTAACCTACTTTAAAATGACATCGTTCGCTTCAAGAGACTTTTTTCTTGTCAAATAAATCGTTTCAGACATCTCTGGTCGAGTCTCTTTATTGTAAAGCACTCATTGATTCCACGAAAATTACCTCGATACATTTTAAGACTTTAGATGGGATACAACTTCCAGTTGGGGGTAGAATAAAACCAGAGACTTCCGAGTATTCCATTCCGAGGTCTCTGGTTTTATCCTTCATTTATAACCCCAACCGCAAATTTGTATCGAAAATTACCTTGACACATTTTAAGACTTTAGATGGGATACAAATTTCATTTTTTTCACAGGTCACGAGGTTTCAACTTAAAAAATAAAAATTCTCACCGTTAAGATATGTTGGAAATTTTAGCTTGATGTGTTCATAATTTGCCAAAATTATTATGTAATAAAGGGGACTTTATATGATCACCTGGTGCTGTCGCTTTAGTTCAGTCTTCACAACAATTCTTTTTCAGCACATGCCCTTCGGGCATGTAGACCTATCATTTTTACCCAGCCCATTCAAATTTGTACATGTCCTACTCAAAATTCTTACATTTACCAGTATTGCGCAACAAAAAAAACCCATTAGGTATAAAGGTTTTGTATTAATTTTTTCAGCGTCGTAAACCAACCATGGCCTGTGATTGCCATTTTCTAAAGCGTTTTTGTTCATAAATAACTTTTGAGTTGCATGCTGGTCATTTGTTGGCCGGTTTAGCTGAACTGAATTTCAGAAATGGGATCATGAGTAGTGCCACAGTATGTGGCATTGATGAACATCTCATAATTTAGCAAGCAACTTCGAGAAAACAAATAGGTTAAACTAAACACTTCAATGATTAGATTGACAATCATTTGACAGGTCGTATCGAGAATGTAGACAGGCAATCCATCGACATTACATATAGCAACGTTTAAGCGAATAATGGGGGTAGGACAGAGTAAATGGCAAGTAAAGATCGTACAATGAAAGAAGATTCACATATGCCCTCTTCGGACATGTAATTTGGCAATTTTTACATGCCCGGCTGCAAATTTAACAGGTCCCTGGCATTGGACTCCCGGGTTATTTGGAAGACTGTTAGTTTAGTTTCATGAGGTCCGACAACATTGATTCTCAATGTCTGCTCCCTCTACCCCATACACTTATCTTGATAAAATTACATAAATTATATTATTAATTATATAAATTGATATAAATTATATAAACCGGTCTTGTTTATATAATTTTACAATGTCATAAACAGCTGCTTAAGTGCATATAATATTGTACTAAATGGATTTATATATAGGATTAGGGAAAGATCCTCACTTGATTATGGCAGCATATTTAGCCCGTAGGAGTTTATTATCTACCACACATGATCAATGTCACTTTTGGACGTGAATGACTTTTGACACCCTAACTTCAGTTCAAATCAACGTTAACTTTATGTGACGTCTCTCTGAATCTTTTTTGGCATGTAACTTGGGTAAAAACAATTAAGTACTCTTGATGCATTTGATTTCTCTTAGCCCGTTTAAACATTTCCAAGGTCTATACCAGTTTTTGCAGGGGCGAAACTATGTAGAAGTTGGAAAAGAAACCCATCCCCTTTTTGACGTATTTGGTTTTCGAGGGGTGAAAATTTTACTACATGCAATATTTATTATATTATACTGAATGTTTTATACAAATACAAATAATAGTGAACCTTGAGCGCATAAATCTGCGCAGTCACTATTTTTTGGAATATCACCCGTCGTCAAGCAATGTTGACTGTTGCGACACTGGGCGTGGCTTCATTATTCAGCGGATAATAGTGCTTTTTAACAAATGTTTCTTAACGAATCAGATTAATTCATCTAATATACCTGAAAGTACAATATTAATTAATTGTCATCATTTTCCTATACATGTATTAGCATTTTT